TCCCATATTGTTTCTTTTCCCGTTACTTCTTGGTCGCCAAACGTGGAGGTGGGCTGCGACCCATCCTTGATCTCAGACAGTTAAATAAACATATTCGACCGAAAAAGTTTAGAATGGTCACTCTTGCTTCCATCTTACCTTTACTGTCAGAGGGTACATGGTTTGCCACCATCGACTTGAGAGATGCGTATTTTCATTTGTCGATCGCACATCACCACCGCAGGTTCCTAGCCTTCATGGTAGGGAACAGGGCCTTTTGTTTCAACGTCCTCCCCTTTGGACTGTCCACAGCACCCAGGGTGTTCACAAAATGTATGTCGGTGGTGGCCGCGTATCTACGCACAAGGGGCGTGACAGTGTACCCGTATATTGACGATTGGCTTATTGTCTCGAGGTCACGAGATCAGCTTGAAACTCAAATCTCCTTTGTTCTGTCCCTTTTACAGTCCCTCGGCCTGGTGGTCAACCTCGACAAGTCATCGCTGCTCCCTTCTCAGCGGATCAACTTCATCGGGGCCGTGCTGGATTCGGTCGCCCAGAGAGCCTTCCTCCCACCAGACCGATTTGCCAAACTGAGGGAGTTAGTGTTGCAAACCATGATGACTCACTCTGTGCCGGCCAAGCAGATCCAGATCCTGTTGGGTCACATGGCCTCCACCACAGCCGTGACCCCGTATGCCAGACTTCGCATGCGCCCCCTCCAATCATGGTTTGTTTCAGCATTCAACCCGCTTATGGACAAACCATCTGTACAGCTCACGCTACCTGCCACAGTTCGCCAATCCCTCTGTTGTTGGCGGGATGCTCTGTGGGTGTGTGCGGGTCTGCCTTTCCATCCGCCTCGTCCGACCCGGGTGATTACTACAGACTCCTCCCTCACGGGATGGGGCGCACACTCCCAAGGTCTCATCGCTCAAGGCGTTTGGGTGGGAAGAGAAAGAGATCTTCACATAAACATCTTGGAACTACTCGCAGTGCAAAGAGCACTACTCTCGTTCGAGAGGGTCATAAGGGGACAGATAGTACAAATTCTCACCGACAACACCACAGTGATGTACTATCTCAACAAACAGGGAGGTACTCACTCCCTTCCCCTGTTGGAACTGACCATTCAAATTTGGAACTGGTGTCTGGACCGAGGTATTCATCTTCTGGCGACACATCTGCCAGGGGAGCAGAACCTATTGGCCGACTCGCTCAGCAGGAGCCCATTGACCCATCACGAATGGACCCTTCACCCGTGGGAAACCCGGAGGCTCTTTCAGGCGTGGGGCACCCCGGAGGTGGACCTCTTCGCAACCCCGGCCAACTCGAAGTGCGCCCTGTACTGCGCTCGGACGCAGGCCTCGGTCGAGACAGGATGCCTAGGAGATGCGTTCCTTCTGGACTGGTCGACTCGACCAGTCTACGCCTTCCCTCCGTTCCCTCTCCTTCTACGAGTGGTGGCCAAAATCCAAAGGGAGGGCGCACGGTGCATTTTGATATCCCCATGGTGGCCCCGACAACCATGGTTCTCCCCACTGTACCAGATGGCGAGGGGAGTGTTTTTTCGATTTCCAGACAGGACGGACCTCCTAACATCACAGAACGCTCTAGTTCTGTATCCCGACGTTTCCAAACTGAAGCTCACAGCGTGGAGGATTCTCCCAACCCCTTAGTCTCATTTGAGACCTTGTCTTCCCCCGTACAGGCGATTCTGGACGCTGCACATAGAGCTTCGACCAAGCGCTCTTATGTTTATAAATGGACAAGGTTTACTGCATTTGTTCGCTCTAGAGGACTTGATCCTGTTACTGTTTCAGTTCCTGTTATTTTGGATTTTTTGGCATCTCTGGCCGATTCGGGGAGGTCTCATTCTTCGTTGAAATGTTATTTGGCGGCCATTTCCTGGTTCAGAAGGAAATCGGGGTTGCCGTCGTGTTTTATGGACCCGTTGGTCAAGACCTTTTTGAGGGGCTTTGCTAACATTAGGCCTTCAGTGGCCCCTGTTACTCCATCGTGGAGTTTAGATCTGGTGTTGTCTTGTCTTTCAAAACCCCCCTTTGAGCCGTTAGCCAGGGTCGATCTTTCCTTCCTATCGTGGAAGACGGCCTTCCTGGTGGCCATTACATCGGCCAGACGGTCTAGCGAGCTATGTGCTTTACGAGTAGACCCTCCCTATCTTAAGTTTCATAGGGACAGGGTGGTGTTGCGTACCGATGTGGCCTTTCTTCCTAAAGTCTCTACTCGATTTCACATATCTCAAGAATTGGTACTTCCAAGTTTCTTTCAGAACCCTATTACGCCCACGGAACGCTCCCTACATTTACTTGATGTCCGGAGAGCTCTCGCATTCTATGTTGAAAGAACGGCCCCTTTAAGGAAGACTCCCAGGCTGTTCATAAAATATCGTCAGGATACGTTGGGTCTTCCGTTATCCTCTCAGAGGCTTTCCTCTTGGATAGTTTCGGTTATTCGCCTGTGTTACCGCCTGGCAGGAAAAGATTTGCCGTTGCAAATCAGGGGACACTCTACTAGGGCGGTTGCAACGTCCACTGCCTTCCTTAGGGGAGTGTCCTTAGATGCTATTTGTAAGGCTGCTGTTTGGTCGTCCCCTTTGACGTTTGTGTCGCATTATAAGGTGGACGCAGCCTCTCAAAATGATTTGGAGTTTGGTAGAGCAGTATTGTCTTCGGTGGTGGCATGATCCCGCCAACCGAGATTCTACTCGCTAATCTACCAAATGTACGATTCACAGTGACTACGACAAGAAATTATAAGTTGCTTACCTGTAACTGTAGTTTCTTGAGTAGTCACCTGTGAATTCGTACATACCCGCCCTTCCTCCCCTCGAGTATCATGCCACGCCGGTAGCTGCTTTTTGCGGCTAAGAGAACTGCCGGCTAGTCCTGCCCTCAGGCTATATATACTCGGGGGGGGGGGGGCGGGCCTAGCTGAGGGCTTAAAGTGCTTTGACTTTCTAGAAGGTTCCGTAAAGTTGTATTGCGCAAGCGCAGGGATACCAAATGTACGAATTCACAGGTGACTACTCAAGAAACTACAGTTACAGGTAAGCAACTTATAATTTCGTTTTCAGTCTGCTGAATTCTGTTTTAGACATTTGCATGAATTTGTTGTGCAGTGTTTATAGAGGACAACTCTTCAGCTGTACTTCATAAAAATGTGTTTGTTTGTTTATTTATTTACCACACTTTTATCCTGCCCTTTTCACCCCCAAGGCGACTCAGGGTGGCATACAGACTGGCATCAATTAGATACCGAACACATGTAAATATATAATTTAAAACAGGTTAAATAACATAATAAAATTCATATAAAAACAATTTAAAACTATAAAAATCAATGACTTCCAGGTTTAAATCCATGCCCATTTGTATCGTTAAGCCGCTCCATATTCATTCACAATACTGAGTTTATCTGGTTACAATGAGGTTCCAAAAGCTTGGTCAAAGAGCCCGGTTTTTACTCTTTTCCTAAAGGTCAGGAGGGAGGGGGCCGGTCTAATATCCCCAGGAAGGGAGTTCCACAGCTGAGGGGCCACCACTGAGAACGCCCTGTCCCATGTCCCTACTAAGCACGCCTGTGAGGCAGGGCCTCCCCAGATGATCTTAAATTCCTGGAAGGTTTGTAAGGGGAGATTTTCGTTTTTATTATCCTACTAGCTGTCCCCTGCCACGCATTGCTGTGGCCCAGTCTGGTGATCTGGAATATAAAGTAATGAGAAAGTGTTGGTTTCTAATATATGTAATTTATTTCTGCTTGTGGGTAAACTGTATTTTTTTGCTGTTTCTTTGTCAGTGTTGATGTGGAGAGTATCTGGTTTGCCTACTCTGGAACGGCAACACATAATTGTCCTTCTTGGGGGGTCCCTTTCAAATTTATGATACTATATCTCTCTGTGTGTGAATCATATCTATCTATCTATCTATCTATCTATCTATCTATCTATCTATGACTGGATGGCTCTTTGTGAGGAGGGCTTTGTTTATGGTTTTTTTGCCCTGGTAAAGGGAGTTGGACTGGATGCCTTAAGTATTTTCTGATGGTCATGGGGGTTCTGTGTGGGAAGTTTGCCCCATTTCTGTCGTTGGTGGGGTTCAGAATGCTCTTTGATTGTAGGTGAACTATAAATCACAGCCACTACAACTCGCAAATGTCAAGGTCTATTTCCCCCAAACTCCACCTGTACTCATATTTGAGCATATTGAGTATTCATGCCAAGTTTGGTCCACATACATCATTGTTTGAGTACACAGTGCTCTCTAGATGTAGGTGAACTACAACTCCCAAACTCAAGGTCAGTGCCCACCAAACCCTTCCAGTGTTTTCTGTTGGTCATGGGATTTCTGTGTGCCAGACTTGGTTCAATTCCATCATTGCTGGAGTTCAGAATGCTCTTTGATTGTAGGTGAACTATAAATCCCAACAACTACAACTCCCAAATGACAAAATCATAATGTTTTGAGTGATGGTCACTCCTTGTGTTGTGAGACATTTTGTTGCCAAATTGGGTGTGATTTCATTCATTGGGTCTTTTGTTTTTAAGGTATTCATTACGCACACAACATTTATATATATATAGATTTTATATTTTTTATTTTATTTGTTATTTATATATTTTTATGATGTATTTTTGTTATTTTGTGTTTTATTTTGTTGTATTATTTTGGGCTTGGCCTCATGTTAGCCGCCCCGAGTCCCCTTTGGGGAGATGGTAGCGGGTTACAAATAAAGTTCATTATTATTATTATTATTATTATTATTATTATTATTATTATTATTAATGTTCAGATAGGTAAGTTGATATCAGCAAATGATTTTCATACCTATTTTATGTACCTGTATAGCTGGGGTCATGTAAACATTTCTTGATCGGAAAGGTGTTGTAAGTGACTGTGTTCTGTACAACGCTAGTGGAGCTACTTGTCCTTTGTTTTTGATGTTTGGGTGGACAGTGACAAAGGGTTAATCATACAGCATTTCCTTCTTTTCTCCAACAGGCCCACAAGAGAAAGTGAAGGAGAAGCCGAATAAAGGGAAAAAAGAGAAACCACCCAAGCCAACCAAGAAACCTAAAGTGAGACCTCCAAAAGCCCCCAAGAAAGAGAAAGGTCCAAAGCCTACCAAAAAGCCCAAAGAGAAACGGCCAAAGGCAACCAAGAAACCAAAGGAGAAACCTCCCAAGGCTACAAAAAAACCCTCTGGAGGAAAGAAAACGGAGAGGCCTCCTCCGCCCATCCAGCCCTATGAGGAAGAAGAGCGGTACCACTTTCCAGAAAGGCCACTGATCCCACCTCCAGCTGGAGAAGAAGATCATTATGAGGTGCCCGATTCCACAAGGTTCCATGATCCTTATGGGAGGGAAGATGAGCACTCCCGAGTGAATGAAGAAGGAGGGGAATGTAAGTGTCTTTCAGTCTCTTCCAGTAGTCTCAGTTGATGTGTACACATATGAGGTCCACACAGAGTCTTTCTCGTGTATCCATTCCCCACAATGTTAACCTTTGATCAAAGCACAGCTTTGCCACCCTATCCTTCTGACCTGTCCTAACAATTTTTGCATCCTCACTGCAGTATTATTATTATTATTATTATTATTATTATTATTATTATTTTGCAACAGAACGTGTTGGAATGCATTAGTCCAGGGTAAGTCTCTAGAGCAGTGATTCTCAACCTTCCTAATGTCATGACCCCTTAATACAGTTTCTTATGTTGTGGTTTATTATTTCGTATCAAAAGCATTGCATAAATCAAAAGCAGGTTCGCAGCTTGGGAGTGATCCTGGACTCATCGCTGAGCCTGGAATCCCAGGTCTTGGCGGTGGCCGGGAGAGCTTTTGCACAATTAAAACTTGTGCGCCAGCTGCGCCCGTGCCTTGAGAAGTCGGATCTGGCCACGGTGGTCCACGCTCTTGTTACATCCTGATTAGATTACTGCAACGTACTCTACGTGGGGTTGCCTTTGAAGACTGTTCGGAAACTCCAACTAGTCCAGCGGGAGGCAGCCGGAGTACTTACAGGAGTGTCATACAGGGAGCATACCACCCCCCTGTTGTGTCAGCTCCACTGGCTGCCGATCCAATTCCGAGCACAATTCAAAGTGCTGGCTTTGACCTACAAAACCCTATATGGTTTCGGCCCAGTGTATCTGTTCGAACGGATCTCCCTCTACGTCCCACCTCGGAGTTTAAGATCTTCTGGGGAGGCCCTGCTCTCGGCCCCGCCTCTATCACAAGTGAGGTTGGCGGGGACGAGGAGCAGGGCCTTCTCAGTGGTGGCCCCCCACCTATGGAATTCACTCCCCAGGGAAATTAGATCAGCGACATCCCTCCTTTCCTTTAGGAGGAAATTAAAGACATGGATTTGGGACCAGGCGTTTGGACAATCTGGCAGATAAATAAAGGACTACGATGATTGATAAGAAGGGGCAAAGTGGAATGAAATTATGGACTCTGAATGGAGAATGCTGAGCATGAGATTAGTTTTATGATTATGTTATATATCGACTGTTTTAACTGTTATAACTGTTTTAATTGCTGTTTTAAACGTTATCTGTATTATTGTGTAGGCATCGAATTGTGCCTTTTGTAAGCCTGAGTCCCCCTCCGGGAGTAGAGAAGGGCGGGGTAGAAGTACTCGAAATAAATAAATAAATAAATAAATAAATAAATAAATAAATTAGTATAAAACTGATAAAAATAGAAGGAGAGCAGGCAGCAATTGCATTGTTTCCTCGAAGCAATGGCATTGTTTCCTCGAAGACTGAGTAAATATAGTTGGGCATCCCCCGGGTAACATTTCTAGTAAACGGCTAACCTTTCCAAACCCAAAAGCATTGCTTTTAAACATTTGCTCATGTTGTGATGACCCCCAAACATAAAATTATTTTCGTTGCTACTTCATAACTGTAATTTTGCTACTGTTATGAATCATAATGTAAATATCCGATATGCAGGATGTATTGTTATTCACTGGACCAAATTTGACACAGATACCTAATATGTCCAAATTTGAATACTGGTGGGGTGGGAGGAGGTTGATTTTGTCATTTGGGTGTTATAGTTGCTGGGATTTATAGTTCACCTACAATCAAAGGGAATTCTGAACAATGGAATTGAACTAAACTTGGCACAGAGAACTTCCATGACCAACAGAAGATAGTGGAAGGGTAGGTGGGCATTGACCTTGAGTTTTGGAGTTGTAGTTCGTCTACATCCAGAGAACACTGTGGGCCCAAACAATGATGAATCTGGAGCAAACTTGGCACGGATACTCAATGTGAACACTGGTGGAGTTTGGGGAAAATAGACCTTGACATTTGGGAGTTGTAGTTGTTGGGATTTATAGTTCACCTACAATCATTCTGAACTCCACTATCGATAGAATTGGGTCAATCTTCTGACACAGAACCTTCATGACCAACAGAAAATACTGTGTTTTCTGATAGTCTTTGGTGACCCCTCCGACACACATCACCACCCCACCTCCCCCCCCCCCCCCCCCCCCCCCCCCGGTTGAGAAACACTGCACTAGAGGACTTGTAGAGTCAGCTTGAGGTAGAAAAGAACATTGCCAAATTGCCCGTCCTAAGCTTGGCATTCACTCCCAGTGTTGCAAACCTCCAGCTAAGCAAAACAGAACCTCAAATCCCAACCAAGAGCTATAAGGAGACACTTTCAGCCCCATTTTTCTTATTAGGCACACCAGTTTGCAAACGTGCATAAGGTTCCACACAATACGTCAGCATTTATCATTACTTGTTTGATAAATAACCACTTTTTTAGTTTATCATCATAATCTTAAACACAATTTTAAGGAAGGGGCGTGAGGCTGTTAGGAATTGTGGGAGTTGAAGTCCAAAACACCTGGAGGGCCCAAGTTTGCCTATGCCTGGTGTAGACTCATATAATGCAGTTTGATGCACTTCAGCTTCATTATACAAATCTACAAAGCATTATATTGCAGTGTAAATGAGGCCGTAGTTGCACAGGTTAATTGTATGTATGTATTAACTTTAAACTGCATTATATGGTCAGTGGGCTCTTAAAATGCCGTTTAACTCCATTGAACTGCATTATATGAATCTACACTGACTGCCCTTTGTGTTTGATTTTATTATGTTATTTTGCACTGTTTATTTTATTTTGTTACTTTATGTATTTTGTTGTGATGCAATTTTTCTGTTGTTTTGTGTCTAACTTTGCTGTATTATTTTTGGGCTTGGCCTCATGTTAGCCAGCCTGAGTCCCCTTTGGGGAGATGGTGGTGGGGTATAAATAAAGTTATTATTATTATTATTATTATTATTATTATTATTATTATTCAGTTAAAATGGCCTCTTTTACAAGTGATCAGTCAGTTGTCAACTGGAGCCACCGGTGGCACAATGGGTGCCACCTTGTGCCGGCAGGACTGGTGACTGACAGGTCAGCGGTTTGAATCCAGGGAGAGCGGGATGAGCTCCCTCTGTCAGTTCCAGCTCCTCATGTGGACACATGAGAGAAGCCTTCCACAAGGATGGCAAACATCCAGGAGTCCCCTGGGCAACATCCTTACAGACGGCCATTTCTCTCACACCAGAAACGACTTTCAGTTTCTCAAGTTGCTCCTGACATGAAAAAAAGTTGTTGACTTTCCCTGTCCCATTTCCTTTATTTGCTTCAGCCACTGGATCTTTGTTGAGTCATCATCTCTGACTTCAGCTTTTTCCTTCTGCAGCTCTGTTCCCAGAGGAGCCAACGGAACCACGATGGGATGAGAAACAGGATCCAAACAGGCATTACAGTAAGCAAAATCAGAAAGGCAACATGGGAGCCTGGAACCCCAAGTTTTGATGGTGACTAGAGGAGCTTTTGAACAGTTAAAGCTTGTGTGCCAGCTGCGCCCATATCTTGGGAAGTCTGACTTGGCCATGGTAGTCCACGCTCTGGTTACATCCCGTATAAACTACTGCAACACGCTCTACACGGGGCTGCCTTTGAAGACTGTCCGGAAGCTTCAGATGGTCCACTGTGTGGCAGCCAGATTACTGATTGGAGCTGTGCTTAGGGAGCACACAACTCCTCTGTTGCATCAGCTCCACTGGCTGCCAGTTTGCTACCGGGCACAATTCAAAGTGGTGGCTTTAGTCTATAAAGTCCTAAATGGTTCTGGCCCAGCTTATCTATCAGAACACATCTCTCCCTATGAACCTTAAGATCATCTGGGGAGGCCCTGCTCTCGATGCCTCACAGCTACGTCTGACAAGTACAAGAGACAGGGCCTTCTCAGTGGTGGCCCCTCGGCTGTGGAACTCCCTTCCCAGGGATATTACATCGGCCCCCTCCCTCCTGACCTTTCGGAGAAGAATGAAAAACTGGGTCTTCGAGCAAGCGTTTGGAGCTTCAGCATGATCAGATAAACAAAAAATTGTAATACGAACACGGAACAGCTAAGACGATGTAAACGGATGAGGAATTAGACTGGAAGATATTGTTTTTTGTAGATTTTTAAAGTTTTTATAGCTTTTATGGTTTATATATATTTATATATAAATATATATAATTAGAAGGCATCTAATTGTTGCCGGTCTGTACACTGCCCTGAGTCGCCTTTGGGCTGAAATGGGCGGGATAAAAATGATGTAAATAAATAAATAATAAATAAAATAAACCAATATTCACATATACAATACAGTAAGCAATTTTATACATAACAAATAACTAGTGGAGGCTTGAGAAGGTTGCTATTTCCAACAACCATTCACTCTATGATGGGGAAACGCTCTCTCACACATATACACTACTGTGAGGACAGTAGCTAACCTCTGAAGGAACATGGAAGGCTATAGGGTGGCAGGTAATAGCATCACAAATAATGATGCTATTACCTGATGCTCTTCTCCTACCACAACATTATAACCAGGTTGATTCTGACCAGGAGGATATTTTCATGCAGGAATGAAATATGGGTGGGTTAGAGTAGTGCTACTCAAAAGTGAAGCTCTGTGGAGCAGTGCCAGTTCTGCGTAGCATTGCTTTCCAGTATTTGGCAACTTCTTAAGGGAAAAGAAATTAACAGTTGTAGCCAATGGTCACACACCTGGCGCTGGTCCCTGGCACACTGGGAGAAAAACCCTTCCAATCCACGACATCAGATATTTTCAGAAGCATTGGGTTTGAATATGCTGTGCACATATGGACCGAGGTAGAAGCGTTTCTCCATGCGCAAAGTGATGGAGGTTAATCTTTTTCTCTCCACATTTTTTATTTTATTTCAGCCGACTTTTATGAACCTCCAACAGAGCCACAGGAGCCTGGAAGAGAGAACAGGAACCGCGAAAGCCAGCCAGGTGAGCAGATGCTTATGTCCAAGGGTTGGCAGTTTGCCCAGACTTATTGCAGATCGGTCTAGACAAGTAAGTGAAAGAATATGGAAACCTCTTTCCCCCACATACATGCTGAACACATTCTCAGGATGTTTGATCTATAAAGCACACATGGACAGGCATGCATGCGTATATTCTTCTCACTTCTGCAGTGTGATCACCCCTTACTATTTTAGCCAACTCTCCAATCCCTTCTGGAGTCGATATTATTCTGCTCCTAATATTGACAAGGCAATTAAATAATTTTTTTCCTTTTGGAAAAGAATGTGTCAACTTCTCCCTAACATCTGGGAGGAGGGAAGGAGAGAGTGTGCTATAAACATTAGAAGGCCTAAAAATAAATTTGTGACCATATCTACTGCACCCACTGAAACGCCATATGTGACCGCATTTCTGTGTACGAACCCGCGCGATATCTTCGATCATCTGGAGAGGCCCTGTTCTCACTCCCGCCCACTTCGCAGGCGTCATTGGTGGGGACGAGGGAGAGGGCCTTCTCGGTGGTTGCCCTCTGACTCTGGAACACACTTCCCAAGGATATCAGGCAAGCCCCACATTGGCAGGCTTTAGGGGGAGCCTGAAAATGTGGCTGTTCCAGTGTGTTTTCCTTGAATAAAGGAAACAATTCCCTGCAAAATGTCCCCAGAAGCACTTTAATTACTCGTTGGGTTGCTCTCCCTACATTTCTTTTTAAACCCTCCTACTAGATACATCCTACCTCTTTTCATGCCCAGTGTTTATTTTTAAAATTTTAACTGTTACATCTGGCCCAGCCATAGGTTTTGAAATCTCTGCGTGTTATTGTCTATATGCGAGTTATATTAATTGTATTGTTTTATTTGCTTATTGCTTTGTTGTTTTTATTGATGTGTTGTTGGGCTTGACCTCATATAAGCCGCTCCGAGTCCTCCTGAGGAGATGGTGGCGGGGTATAAATAAAGTATATTATTATTATTATGATTATTATGATTATGATTATGATTATTATGATTATTATTATTATTATTATTCAAGAAGCAGAAATTGCACTTATTATATAAATGCCAGCATCAGGTTACAAAGAAAGGTACAGAATGCTAGCCAGTTGTCAAAAGAGTGTTAGGGTCAGACAAAATTCCACTTTGACTACACTGTAGAATTAATGCAGTTTGACACCACTTTTAACTGTCATGACTCAGTGCTGTGGAATCATGGGAGTTTTAGTTTATAAGGCATTTCACCTTCTCTTCAAAAAAAGAGTGTGGGTGCTTCATTGAACTACAAATCTCAAGATTCATTAGCCTTGAGCCATGGCAGTTTTATAAGTGATTTGTTTATCTATTGTGTCAGAAACTAATTGAGGGTACAGTTGTAAGGTATTTAAAAACATAAAGTTAAGAACTTGGCATTATACTAAATGTCCTTTGACCAGAAGCTGGCCACTTGGAGTGCCTCTGGTGTGGCTGTGAGAAGGTCCTTCATTGTGCATGTGGCAAGGCTCGGGTTGCATTGTAGTACGTGGTCTGTGCTTAGCTCTCCTCCACACTCACATGTTGTGGTCTCTACTTTGTAGCCCCATTTCTTAGGGTTGGCTCTGCATCTCATGGTGCCAGAGCGCAGTCTGTTCAGCACCTTCCAAGTCGGCCATTCTTCTGTGTGCCCGGGATGGAGTTTCTCATTCGGTATCAGCCATGGATTGAGGTTCTGGGTTTGAGCCTGCCACTTTTGTACTCTCGCTTGCTGAGGTGTTCCTGCGAGTATCTCTGTAGATCATAGTAAACTGATTTAAGGAATTGGCATGCTGGCTGATATCCGAACAGAAGATGTCACTGACTTGGTACTTTCCTTATTGGCTGCTACTTCCTGGTGGATGTCAAGTGGTGCAATACCGGCTAAACAGTATAATTTCTCCAGTAGTGTGGGGTGTAAACACCCCGTGATAATGCGGCATGTCTCATTAATAGCCACATCCACTGTTTTAATGTAGTGAGATGTGTTCCACACTAAGCATGCATATTCAGCAGCAGAGTAGCAAAGCGCAAGGACAGATGTCTTCCCTGTGTCTGGTTGTGATCCCTAGATTGTGCCAGCCAGCTTTCTTATGATATTGTTTATAGCACCCACTTTTTGCTTGGTAGTCAAACAGTGCTTCTTGTAAGTCAGAGCATGGTCCAGTGTAACTCCCAGGTATTTGGGTGTTCTGCAATGCTTAAGTGGCTGAGGAGGAAAAGGAAGGGGCCTGAAGCTGTTAGGAATTGTGAGAGTTGGAGTCCAAAACACCTGGAGGGCTGAAGTTTGCCCATGTTTGATATAGACCTTTGGATTCCCAATTCTAGTCCTTGCAAGTTCTGAAAATGTATCGACAGCAGAGGTTTAGGATTCAAGGTAGTTTAGTGGATTCAAAAATAACTTTAGTAGATTGTGCCATTAACAGGGCTCTAGGCTGTTGCGTAGAAGTCAGAGGATTTGGACTTATTTGGTCTTCCAGATGTTTCAGATGATAATTCCCATAGTCCATTGCTATTAGTGATGTTGATGGTTATTTTGCCAAAACATCCAAGTTTAAGTGGATCGGATCTATTCAGTATCAGAGTCTCTATGTTTTTCCCTCGGTGTCCTTATGTTCTGGATAAGCTGCCAGACTCAAGAAGGAATTCTGCTTCTTCTCTTTCTTCAGAATCCCCAAGAGAGCTGGAGCCACCTACGCTGGATTACAATGAACAGATTGAGCGTGAAGACTACGAAGACTGTACGATTTGTTTGCTCTACCTACAAACAGTAATAGTTCCTCTGCTGGGGAGTGGGGTGGCGTTATTTGGTTAATAGAAGAAAAAGCAAGGGTTCATGCCTCAGGGAAATGTGTTCCTTTCTTGCCATGTTTCTGTATTTGTAAAATGGTGTGATGCGCCTCCCACACACCTTTTGAGGCAGGAGAGGTTTCTTGTGCCAAGTTCAGAGAGAAGAACTGTTTTGTGCAAGAGAAAACATTTGTATGAGGTTTACAAGTTCAAACTCTGGTGATCCTCATTATTCATCATTGTAATAAGAACAGTTTAGTTCATATCTATCTCTTTCTGTCCAATGTTTCTCCAGTCTCCAACTCAAAGGATCCCTCTCTCTTCTCTCTTTCTATCTCTCCTGTCCAATATCTATCTATCTATCTATCTATCTATCTATCTATCTATCTATCTATCTATCTATCTATCTATCTATCTATCTATCTATCCATCCATCCATCCATCCATCCATCCATCCACCCACCCACCCACCCACCCACCCACCCACCCACCCACCCATCCATCCATCCATCCATCCATCCATCCATCCATCCATCCATCCATCCATCCATCCATTATTCTCTTCTTGTCCAATATTTATCTGTTTATCTATTTATCCATCTATCCTAGTGTTTCTCAAACTTTCTAATGCTGTGACCCCTTACTACAGTTTCTCATGTTGCGATGACCCCCAACTACAAAAATAATTTAGAACATGGCCTCTAGAACATGATACCTACAACAACCCAAAATTAATTTAGTTGTTACTTCTTAACTGTCATTTTGCTCCTGTTATGAAGTGTCATGTCAATATCTGACATGCAGGATATATTTCCATTCACTGGACCAAATTTGGCACAAATACCCAATACGCACACATTTGAATACCGGTGAGGTTGAGAGGGGGATTGATTTTGCAATTTAGGAGTTGTAGTTGCTGGGATTTGTAGTTCACCTACAATCAAAGTGCATTCTGAACCCAACCAATGATGGAATTGATCCAAACTTGGCACACAGAACTCCCATGACTAACAGAAAATACTGGAAGGGTTTGCTGGGCATTGACCTTGAGTTTGGAAGGTCAATCCAGAGAGCATTGTGAACCCACATCCAGAGAGCATTGTGAATGATGGATCTGGGCAAAATTGATGGATCTGGGCAAAATTTGGCACAAATACCTGATATGCCCAAATGTGAACACTGGTGGAGTTTGGGGAAAATAGACTAGTCCACTCAAAATTAAAGAGCATTCTGAACCCCACTAGTGATAGAACTGGGCTAATCTTCCCACACAGAACCCCCATGACCAACAGAAAATACTGTGTTTTCTATGGTCTTTGGCGACTCCTCTGATAACCCCTCATGACCCCCCCCCCAGGGGTCCTGACCTCCAGGTTGAGAAACACTGATCTATCCATTCATCTCTTCCTGTCCAATGTTTCTCCAATCTCCAACTGGATGACTCTTTCTCTCTTATAATTTCTCTTTCTATCTTCTGTCTCTTCCTGTCCAGTATTTCTCTGTCTGTCTCATTTATCATCATTCTATCAATCCATCCATCCATTCATCTCTTCCAGCCCAATATTTCTCCATCTGTCCAATGTTTCTCTATCTGTCTCTCTTATCTATCTTTCCATCCATTAGGGGCCCCCGGTTAACTCTTGTGCCAGCAGGATTGCTGACAGAAAAGTCAGTGGTTCAAATCCAGGGAGTAGGGTGAGCTCCCGTTTGTCAGCTCCAGCTTCCCATGCAGGGACATGAGAAAACCCTCGCACAGGATGGTAATACATCTGGGTGTCCCCTGGGCAACGTCCTTGCAGAGGGCCAATTCTCTCACACCAGAAGGGACTTGCAGTTTCTCAAGTCGCTCCTGACACACTCACATACACACATACATAAGTTCCTATAGTTGTGATGGTAGATTCCAAAGTATCACTTTTGGAAGGGAAAAAATGATGGTTTGTCATACAAAAAGTTGGAGGAGGAGGAAGTGGAAATTTTCAACAAGCTTCTTATTCCATTTATACACTGTAGAGAAAAAAGGAGAAAAATTGCCTCCAGAACATGGCCATATAGCCCGGAAAAACCTACAACAACCCACTGTATAAATGATTTGCCATTACTTGGTTATTTGGGATCCCAAACTGACCATCACAAGTAGAACTTGGCCATTTTGTATATCTGTGTGAATTTGGAACATAGGCAACTTCTGTTTGTAAGGAATGATTCCTTAAGCCATATTTGTACCACAACATGATAAGCCACACTCTTGAAATTTCTTCTTACTCAACTCTTTCACCTGCAGCAACTCCATTGTGTTGCTACTTCGCACTTAGAAAGATACAGTAAAGATACAGTTAAACATATGTGTAGAAAAATAATTTGAACCAGACCTCATTGTGTGGGTTAAAGGCAAGTTCAGCTCAAATGCTTCTAGAGACCCCTGCTTGCAATGGCAATAGAAATGCTGACTATATACAGAAGTGATTACCATTCTGGATTCCCTCGATCTGCTTTAGGTTTCTGCAAAAAAAAATCAGAGGAGGAAACAGCTCCACAATCCAGATGCGTCCCTCCACTTCTCCCCCAGCACTTCCTGTATTTCCCTTCACGTTCTTCGTTTCTTTTTCATTTTTCTGGCTGCCACGAGTGGAAAATGCCCAGCACTTTCCTGAATAATGCTTGACAGATGGGAGGGATTTTGCCAAAGCAAACAGAGCTGCCCTGCATTAGTACCCTAATTCTGGTGCTTGGCCGGGTGGTCACTTTTGCTTGTTTGCCGCTATAAAACAAGCATGCCAGCTGCTGAGTCAGGTAGCCACAAGAGCCTGGAGGCATTCCAGAAGTCTATTGATCCCTTAAGGATCTGAACAATTGGGCCTTTATGTCCTCTCACCTCTGAATGTGATTTTTACAATTATTATTGGGGTGGAGTGTATTTTTCGTACATGCTCGCACCTCCTCAGAATCATCTGGACACTTACTTACTTACGCAATTGGTTGTTGTCCAAGTCGGATAGTCTTCCAAGATCGGTGTCCTGGCGGTGGGTCCGTAGGTGACTGTGGAGTCCTATTCTTGACCTGCATCTTCTCCCATAGTGAGGGCATTGGTTTCCAAGGTGGTCCCGGTCAGGGTTGGCTTGATGTGCCTTCCTCTTGGCACGTTTCTCTCTTTTGCCCTCCATTAATGCCTCTCCAAATTCTACAGCACTGCTGGTCACAGCTGACTTCCAGCTGGAGCGCTCAAGGGCCAAGGCTTCCCAGTTCTCAATGTCTATGCCACAGTTTTTAAGGTTGGCTTTGAGTCCACCTTTAAATCTCTTTTCCTACCCACCAACATTCCGATCTTGAGTTTGGAGTAGAGCAACTGTAATGATTTCCAGGTCAGCAGCTTTTCAAAGCCCAGTAAATGATGCTGTAGTACAGGGCTTCATAATCTTTTTCTACTTGTTACACCTTTCTGTCTAAGGTATAAAATCAAACATTTAATGATAATAAATTGGCATTTGTGCAGCTTGTGAAATAGGCTGATTTTCCATTTTTATGAAGTACAGCTGAAGCAGTTTCTACAGAGCCTGTTGTTGGAGGCTTTCATGGCCAGAATCACTGGGTTGCTGTGAGTTTTCCAGGCTGTATAGCTATGTTCCAAAAGCATTATCTTCATCCACGTCAATGGCAGGCATTCTCAGGGGTTGTGAGGTTTCTTGGAAACAAATCAAGTGTGGTTTATATATCTGTGAAATGTCCAGGGTGGGAGAAAGAACTCGTGTCTGTTTGAGGCAAGTGTGAACGTTGCAATCAATCACCTTGCTTAGCATTGAATAGACTTGCAGCTTCAAAGCTTGGCTGCTAATGCTAATTGCAACATTCCCACTTGCCTCAAACAGACAAGAGTTCTTTCTCCCACCTTGGACATATACAGATATATAAACCTTGGTTGCTTAGGTACCAACAGACCTTACAACCTCTGAGGATGCCTGCCATAGATGTGGGCAAAATGTCAGGAGAGAATGCTTCTGGTACATGGCCATAAAGCCCAGAAAAGCAATAATGTGAATCAATCTGTCAACCTTTTGCTTGTGAAACTCGGTGGTTGCTGCTACAGGGCGTCCAATAATAATAATAATAATAATAATAATAATAATAATAATAATAATAATGATCTTTATTTATACCCCGTCACCATCTCCCCAAAGAGGACTCGGAGCGGCTTACATGGGGCCAAGCCCGAACAAGAATTACAATATAACAATACAAATTGCAATAAAATAAACAACATAACATTAAAATATAACACATCAAAACATATAAAACAATATACACAGAACATAGGAACTAAGCATAATGACAGTATGGCAAAGGGAGGGCCGCATGTACATAAAATGATTTAAAAACTCCGGGTGAGATAAGGGGGCAGAACTAATTGTAAGGGAGAACTTATAGAGATAGGAAAATAAGCAAACCTTCATACATGGAGGGGGGTGGACTCCTGGGACAAGAACATTGAGGGAGCACTAGCATAAAATTATGTGGCTATTCTTCGAAAGTCCAACTCTTCGTTTGTCGCGTAAGTCAGATGTTCCCGCATCTTTAAAGTTTAACATCTTTAAACTTACTCGCCCAACAACACACAGTACTCACATCAACACAATCACCATAAACAGCTTGCATTCTCTGATTAATCTCCTTTGGGGTGACACCTTCTGTTGTCAAAAATTCAACGACTGCACATTGCTTAAGTCACATTGAGTGACCCTCTGCGCAGGTTTCCATACTTTGCACTTTAACAACACAACCATTCGATGCTAAGGCTTCATGCCAATATGGGACTGTAGAGGAGAGTCTACTGAACAAGCCAGTACCTGCCACATACCAGTACTGCCATCTGTTGAGGAGTTTTGTTGTTCCAGAACAACAAAAGATATGCAGAGAGCCTGGTAACCCTTTTGAAAGACCAGCATACAGAAAATGGCACAACCTTTTATAGCAGGTATAGGCAAACTTGGCCCCTCCGGGTGCTTTGAACTTCAACTCCCACCATTCCTAACAGCCTCAGGCCCCTTCCTTAAGCGGCTGAGGGGGAAAAGGAAAGGGCCTGAGGCTGTTAGGAATGGTGGGAGTTGAAGTCCAAAGCACCTGAAGGGCCCAAGTTTGTCCATGCCTGTTTCATAGACAAGAATCAGATGCAATAATATGCCTGCAGAGTGACCTACTTCTCGGTACTTTGACACATGCAGAATGGCACAGAGTCAGAGACTTATTCGCCCCCTTTTATCTTCTGCCTCTGAGCATCCAGAACTCATCATGACTGGTGACAAACTCTTTTTTTCTTCCCTGCCGCAGTTGAATACATCAGACGCCAGCACAAACCCAGCAAACCACCAAAGAAAAAGAAACCCGAGAGACCCAGACTGGAGACAGAGGAGAAGCCAAGTATGCAATCCATTTCCTTTGGCTCACTCGCATTTTGCCTGGATGTTGGAAAGCAATGGAGGGGGGGGGGGGGGGGGGGGGAGAGAAATGGAAAACATCCTAAGATAGTAATAGAAGAAAGAGCTGAAGTACTCTTCAGTCAGCGGACTCCCTCTCTTTAGTGCTTGTCAGAGGTGTGCCTTATGTTAGGAGAGCTATGGCATGCCAGGTCTGCAGTGCATAAACCTACTTCTTTTTCACAGCCTTTTCCCAGACATAGGCAGGAATCAACCAGGCCTTGAAGCTGCAAGGCATTGCAGTGCTAATCAAGGTGATTAATTGCAACATTCACACTTGCCTCCAACAGAGAAAAGTTCTTTCTCCCACCATGGACATTATTCCACAGATATATAAACCTCAGTTGTTTAGTTTTCAACAGACCGCACCACCTCTGAGGATGCCTGCCATAGATGTGGGCGAAATGTCTGGAGAGAATGCTTCTGGAACATGGCTAGACAGCCCGGAAAACTCACAGCAGTCTAGCCATGAAAGCTTTTGACAACACATCTCACATTCTGTTTCTCTTTTATCGCTTCGGTTTTGTGTATGTGTAATAATTTATAATATTATAATGTACTGCAATATAATACTACTACTAATAATATGATATTATAATTATATATTTATATTACATGTAATATTACTAATATTACAACATAATGGTATAGTACAATATAGTAATATATAATACAGATATTGTACTATGCTAATAACATAATATACTAGTGGTCCCCTGCCACGCGTTGCTGTGGCCCAGTCTGGTGATATGGAAAATAAAGTAATGAGAAAGTGCTGGTTTCTAATATGTGCAATGTCTTTCTGCTTGTGGGTAAACAGTATTTCTCGATGTTTCTTTGCCAGTATTGACGTAGAGATTGTCTGGCTTGTCTACTCTGGAACATGCAACATATCATTTTCCATGTTTAGGAGTCCCTGTCAAATTTATAATACTTTATCTTTGTGTGTGTGAATCATATCTATCTATCTGTCTGTCTGTCTGTCTGTCTGTCTATCTATATCTATGGCTGGATGGCTAACTGTCAGGAGGGCTTTGATTATGTTTTCTTGCCCTGGTGAAGGGAGTTGGACGGGATGGCCTTAAGTATTTTCTGTTGGTCATGAGGGTTCTGTGTGGGAAGTTTGCCCCAGTTCTGAAATTTGTGGGGTTCATTCAGAATGGTCTTTGATTGTAGGTGAACTATAAATCCCAGTAACTACAACTCCCAAATGTCAAGGTCTATTTCCCCCAAACACCATCTGTGTTCATATTTGGGCACATTGATTATTCATGCCAAGTTTGGTCCAGATCCATTATTGTTTGAGTCCACAGTGCTCTCTGGATGTAGGTGAACTACAACTCCAAAACTCAAGATCAATGCCCCCAAATCCTTCCAGTATTTTCTCTTGGTCATGGGAGTTCTGTGTGCCAAATTTGGTTCAGTTCCATTGCTGGTTGGGGTTCAGAATGCTCTTTGATTGTAGGAAACTATAAATCCCAGCAACTACAACTCCCAAATGACAAAATCAATTTTTTGAGTGATGGTCACTCCTTGTGTTGTGAGACGTTTTGTTGCCAAATTAGGTGTGATTTCGTTCATTGGTTCTTTTGTTTTTAAGGTACTCATTATGCACAGAGCATTTTTATATATATAGATAATGTACTGCAATATAATACTACTACTACTAATAATAAGATATTATAATTATATATTTATATTACATGTAATATTACTAATAATATTACAATATAATGGTATAGTACAATATAGTAATATATAATACTGATATTGTACTATGCTAATAAAATATATTGTGTGTGTGTGTGTGTGTGTGTGTGTATATATATATATATATATATATACACACACACACACACACATCTTGTAAGCCGCTCTGAGTCCCCTTCGGGGTGAGGAGGGTGGCATATGAACACCGTAAATAAATAAATAAATAAATATGCAGATGGGTGCCACTGCCTTTTGCTTCTACCTGCCTGTGGCATATTTATATTAATCATTGTTTAAATCTAGAGGCCATTCACCATTAGCATGAGAAATAGATGTGAGTTTAGGGTGTTCCTGCTACCTTGTCTTGGCAGCTACACTGTCACGTCCTTGGAGAGATCTCATGGGGATTTCTGTTTTGCTTGGCAGGAAAGTCAGAAGAACCACCCACACCACCCTTCGAGAATCATTATGAAGGAGGTTTAGAGCTGCCCGATTATGGAGATGGTAAATATTATCCTATGCCTTTCTTTGAAAAACACAAGTGAGGGGTTATGCTTCTTCTTTTAACCAACCACTTTCCCCCCCCTGTAGTGGACTATGGTCTGCCCCCACAGAAACCCAGAATCTACCCCAGCAGAAAAGAAGATGAGGGTGAAATGGAGACAGATGAAGAAAAACTCAGGCTAAGTGAGTAGATAAGCAGTGGCTGGGACTGCACCTACAGGATTGAGATGTTCAAAAAAGTTGTGATGGGAATGGAAAACGGCAGAAAAAATAGGAAAAATACACCCAGGCCCGTAGCCAGGATTTGGTTTGGGGGGGGGGGGGGGTGAATTTTTTTCAGGGGTTCGGGGGGGGCTGAGTTTCGGGGGGGGGGCTGAGTCCGAGTGAAAGAGGGTCTAGCCTAGCAAACCTTTTGTATCATTACCCCAATACCCCCAATACCCCCATGCATTACCCCAATATCCCCATGTATCATTACCCCAATACCCCCATGCATATGGGATATATTGAGTATGGTGTGATCACCATACTCAATATATCCCATATGTATGGGGGTATTGGAGTATGTGATCAGATCATGATATGAATAAACATAACAGTTTAAATAATGCACCAGTAAGGCCTTTTCGCGAACCACCATGGGAATTTCGGGGGGGGGGGGGGGGGGGCGGGGGGGGGGGGGGGGGGCTGAAGCCCTCAAGGCCCCCCCCCCCCGGCTACATGCCTGACCCACTCTTGTGCATTAAAGCATGTTGGAGCATGTAATAATCAGTTGGTGAATGTGTTAACTGAAAATGCAAAGCACAAAGCCATGCCCGGGGAGCTAGCTGAGCCTGGGAGTTTTGGCAACAGTTACATATTTAGGCTTAGCTGTGTGGGAGCTATGCAGATAGAGACAGTGCTTGCTTCAAGAGCTGCTGGAAGGAGATTTTCACATGGACACCTAATCTCTCAAAAAGAACATTGTGTGAGTCAGTGCAACAGTTCACATGATTATATATATATGTGTGTACTCTGCATTAGAAAGAGTAAATTCCTTGTTCTTTACTGATAATCTGCGTGGAATATTTTCTTTCTCTGGCAAGACAGACTGATAAAATGATTTCCATTATGTAAATATGGAAGTTCACTCCTGGATTTGCAGACAAAATAGGAAAAAATATACCCACCCTTCCTTTTATGCATTTAAGTAGGTTTCTTCACTTTGCTATAGAGAATAGTTTATGGCCCTGGATGCTTCCAGGACCAGTCATTCTCCATTTTCAGTTTGAAAACTTCATCTGGATGGAGAAATTGGCTTGGGGATAGGAGATGCCTGGGGTTGCATGTTGCCTTTGGGTCATGTGACTCCCACATGTGCCAATGTCAAAGGGCAGTGCCCATTCCAATGTAATCAAACACTTGCACATTTCCTTTATTTTACTCAAAATATAAGCTACTAGTTATGTCCACTTGCAACTTAGTCCCATCAGAGAGCTCCCATCAGAGAGCTCAGATCTGATTATAACCATGCTGTTCTTTGTTCTGTGCATCAGAAAAGCCTAAGAAAGTCAGTGGCAAGGAGGATGAGGATGTTGAGACAGATGAAGACAAATGGGCAGAAGAGAAAAGCAAGGATCGGAAAGGTTGGTCCAGCTTTTGATCCAGAAATTTATTTATTTACTAGCTGTCCCCTGCCATGCGTTGCTGTGGCCCAGTCTGTTGATCTGGAAAATAAAGTAATGAGAAAATGTTGGTTTCTAATATATGTAATTTTTTTATGCTTGTGGGTAAACAATATTTCTTGGTGTTTCTTTGTCAGTGTTGATGTGGAGAGTGTCTGGTTTGCCTACTCTGGAATATGCAACATATAATTGTCCTTCTTCAGGGGTCCCTTTCAAATCTATGATACTAAAGTTGTGTGCGTGTGAATCATATCTATCTACATCTATGGCTGGATTGCTCTTTGTTAGGAGGACTTTGATTATGTTTTCTTGCCCTGGTTAAGGGAGTTGGACTGGATGGCCTTGAGTATTTTCTGTTGGTCATGGGGGTTCTGTGCGGGAAGTTTGGCCCAATCAACACTCTTTGATTGTATGTGAACTATAAATCCCAGTACCTACAACTCCCAAATGTCAAGGTCTATTTCCCCCAAACTCCATCTGTGTTCATATTTGGGCATATGGAATATTCGTACCAAGTTTGGTCCAGATCCATCATTGTTTGAGTCCATGGTAGTCTCTGGATGTAGGTGAACTACAACTCCCAAACACAAGGTCATTGCTCACAAAACCCTTCTAGTGTTTTCTGTTGGTCATGGGAGTCCTATATGCCCCAGTTGGTTCAATTCTATCATGCTATTTGATTGGAGATGATCTACAAATCCCAGCAACTACAACTCCCTATCTCTCTCCCTCCCTCCCTCTCTCTCTATGGCTGGATGGCTCTTTGTCAGGGGGACTTTGATTACATTTTCTTGCCCTGATGAAGGGAGTTGCATTGGATGGCCTAAAGCATTTTCTGTTGGTCATGGGGGTTCTGTGTGGGAATTTTGCCCCGATTCTGTCATTTGTGGGGTTCAGAATGCTCTTTGATTGTAGGTGAACTGTGAATCCCAGTGACTACAACTCCCAAATGTCAAGGTCTATTTCCCCCAAACTCCACCAGTGTCCACATTTGGGCATATTGAGTATTCGTGTTTATGTGTTCATATTTGGGTGTATTGAGTGCTTGTGCCAAGTTTGGTCCAGATCCATCATTGTTTGAGTCCACAGTGCTCTCTGGATGAAGGTGAACTACAACTCCCAAACTCAAGGTCAATGCCCACCAAACCCTTTCAGTATTTTCTGTTGGTCATTTGAGTTTTGTGTTCCAAGTTTGGTTCAATTCCATTGTTGATGGAGTTCAGAATGCTCTTTGATGAACTATAAATCCCAGCAACTACAACTCCCAAATGACAAAATCATAATGTTTTGAGTGATGGTCACTCCTTGTGTTGTGAGATGTTTTGTTGCCAAATTTGGTGTGATTTTGTTCATTGGTTCTTTTGTTTTTAAGGTACTCATTATGCACAGAACATTTTTATATATATAGATTATATTAGCATAGCACAAGAGACAAGATGGAACTGTCCCCTGCCCCTCCCCCCCCCTTCACTCTGGCCCAGAACGATGGTTGGTGCTGGGGGAAAATGAACTCAGTTTATGGATTTTTTATTTGTTTATCATATCAGAAGCAAATTGATCATGTTTGTTTGGTTGCATACTGCAAGTCACTTCTGGTGTGAGAGAATCGGCCATCTACAAAAACATTGCTCAGGGGATGCCTGGATGTATTACCATCCTGCAGGGAGGGAATGACAGAAGTAGAATGTCCTTATAGCATAGATTTTTAGTAAGACATTAATTTACTGTACCTGAAGAATATCCACTTTGTTGTATTCAGGCAAACTGTATTATCTTGACCAAATCCTGTACAGTGTATCTTAACTCTTATACAAAAATGACTCATCCCTTTCTCTGAGTAGAGTGGTGAAAGGCAAGAGCTTGGTCCATCACAGAAGAATCTAAAGGAGCCACCGATCCCTTCTACTCTGGCTTTTTTTGAATGTCTGCATAGGGCAACTAGCACTTTCTTCTCTCCTCTCAGGGATCATGTCAAAGTCGACCCACAACCATTGTCTTGTGGGGTCCCGCATGGCTCAATACTGTCCTCCATGTTGTTTAACATCTACATGGAGCCATTGGGGGAGATCATCCGGAGTTTCAGGGTGTGATGTCATCTGTATGCAGATGATTCCAACTCTTGTCACTTCCCACCTGCTACTAAGGAGGCTGTTCAGGTCCTGAACCGGTGCTTGGCCTTTGTGACAATCTGGATGAGAGCGAACAAATTGAAACTGAATCCAGACAAGACAGAGGTCCTCCTGGTCAGTCACAAGGCTGAACAGGGCATAGAGTTACGGCCTGTGTTGGATGGAGTTACACTCCCCCTGAAGATGCAGGATCGCAGCTTGGGTGTGAACCTGGACTCATTGCTGAGCCTGGAACTGGGGTTTCGGCGGTGACCAGGGGAGCATTTGAACAATTAAAACTTGTGTGCCAGCTGCGCCCATATCTTGGGAAGTCTGACTTGGCCACGGTAGTCCACGCTCTGGTTACAAACCTTATAGACTACTGCAACATGTTCTACGTGGGGCTGCCTTTGAAAACTGTTCGGAAGCTTCAAATGGTCCAACAGGAAACAGCCAGGTTGTTAACAGGAGTGGCGCTCAAGGAGCGTACAAACCCTCTGCTGCGCCAACTCCACTGGCTGCCAGTTTGCTACCGGCACAATTCAAAGTGCTGGCTTTAGACTTTAGAGAAGACAGAAGGGAGCAGAAGACACTTCCATCTTGTCTTTACTAATAATATAATATAGTATATTGTGTATACATATAATATTTATAATATTATAATGTAATACAATATAATACTAGTAATAATAATTCAATATTAGAATTATAATTATATATTTAATTACATGTAATATTACTAATAATATTACAATATAATGGTATAGTGCAATATAGTAATATATACTGATATTGTACTATGCTAATAATATAATATATTGTATGAAAATATATATTGTAAGCCGCTCTGAGTTCCCTTTGGGGTGAGAAGAGCGGCATATAAGTGCCGTAAATAAATAAATAAATAATAAATAAACGGTTCCGCCCAGCTTACCTGTCCAAACGCATCTCTCTAAGATCATCTGGAGAGGCCCTGCTCTTGATCCCACCTCATTCGCAGATGTGACTAGCAGGGATGAGAGACAGGGCCTTCTCAGCAGTGGCCCCTCAGCTATGAAACACTCTCCCTAGGGATATCAGATCGGCCCCCTCCCTCCTAACATTTCGAAAAAGAGTTAAAACCTGGCTTTTTGAGCAAGCATTTGCAGATGTAGTGTAACAGGCTTATTTAGATCCATGGAACGATTGGACGTTGAGACTGGAAAATTATTTTAATAATGAGACGTTGAGGGCTTGTGTTTTATTGTTTTTATTGTCTCTATTGTTTTATATGGTTTATGTTATATGTTAATGTTTTAATTATGTTTTATGTTGTTGGGGGCATTGAATTTTGCCGATAGTAAACCACCCTGAATAGCCTCCGGGCTGAGAAGGGCTGTATATAAATATGGTAAATAAATAAATAAGTCCATAATTTTACCCCCAAACCAGCCCCCAGCTTTAAAATGAGACTGACTTGTACATGAATATATACAGTACTTTCTCTGTGCCATATGCATTTCTGTTAATCCTCTGAGACATCTTCCTCGTTGGCTTTACTATATCCTCCCAGACATTTCCTCCTTGATATGTCCTTTTTTCTCTTCAACACATGCAGGGAAGCCAAAGAAAGCAGGAGGGAAAAAGTGGGAGACAGATGAAGATGATGATGATAAGGAGTGGACTCCAGAAGAGAAAATAAGTGAGTGATGAAGTGAGATTTTTATGGCTGAAATGTTATTGCATGCATTGCCGACTGATGTTTTCCTCAATCTTGGATCTAATAATGGAATATGTAGGTAAGTGTTGTATATCAGAATGTTATTCTATCTGGCAGTCAAGGCCCTTCCATTAAGCACAGAGAGACTTCATACCTTCAGAGAGCCATACTGGAAAGTAGCAAGTGAGATGTTGTAGGAGAGAGCCTTTAAGCTAGCCTACTGCCAATAGAGAGGGCTATTTAAGTCTGTAGGACATTGCAGTGTAAATTTCTCATAATAATATCTCGCCAACTGAATCTCTATATGTTGTAGAGCGCTGTCATGGCCAGAATCATTGGGTTGCTGTGAGTTTTCTGGGATGTATGGCCATGTTCTAGAAACATTATCTCCTGACATTTCACTCACATCTATGGCAGACATCCTCAGAGATTGTGAGGTATATTGGAAACTGGACAAGTGAGGTTTATATATCTGGGGTTTGTTGGAAACCAGGCAACCAGGAGAACAAGCCCTATGAGGAGTGGCTTAAGGAGCTGGGCATGTTTAGCCTGAAGAAGAGAAGGCTGAGAGGAGATATGATAGCCATGTATAAATATGTGAGAGGAAGCCACAGGGAGGAGGGAGCAAGCTTGTTTTCTGCTTCCTTGGAGACTAGGACACGGAACAATGGCTTCAAACTACAAGAGAGGAGATTCCATCTGAACATGAGGAAGAACTTCCTGACTGTGAGAGCTGTTCAGCAGTGGAACTCTCTGCCCCGGAGTGTGGTGGAGGCTCCTTCTTTGGAAGCTTTTAAACAGAGGCTGGATGGCCATCTGTCAGGGGTGATTTGAATGCAATGTTCCTGCTTCTTGGCAGGAGGTTAGACTGGATGGCCCATGAGGTCTCTTCCAACTCTTTGATTCTATGATTTATATATTTGTGAAATGTCCAGGGTGGAAGAAAGAACTCTTGTCTGCTTGGGGCAAGTGTGGATCTTGCAAATGGCCACCATGATTAGCATTTAATGGCCTTGCAGCTTCAAAACCTGGCTGGTTACTACCTGGGTGAATCTTTTGTTTTGACGGTTTTACTGTTGTAGTTGTTTTCAATCTGGTGAATGCTATTCTTTCCTTCTTATTCATCTGGGAATGTTTTTAATTTTGTGAATGTTGACGTTACTTATAACTTTGTAGTCTTGTTGACATCTCATTGCTAATCACATTGAGCACTATTTTTAGTGTCATTTTGCACTAAGTAAAATAACGCTGTATGTCATAAATTTTATAGTGTTAGAAAAGCTCCATCTGTGCCAGTTTATCTGGGGAAGTATTTTGTCATTGAAAGAGATAGAGCAGGAGTGGGCAGCTGCATTGCAGTGTGGCAAGTTGGAAAAAACTGGAAGTCACTTCTCTTTCTTAATACAGAAAATTTATCGTGTCATCCGCAACCAGAACACTGTATTACATTTCTAACAGAACAAAACAAACAAACAGATAAAAAACCCACAAATTTTGCAAACTTGGTAGCTGATTAAATGTCCTTTGATCAGTATCTGGCCACTTGGAGTGCCTCTGGTGTTGCCGCAAGAAGGTCCTCCATTGTGCATGTAGCAGGGCTCAGGTTGCATTGCAGAAGCAACCAGAAGCACAATATTGATACACACTCGCATGTCGTGGATTCCACTTTGTGGCCCCATTTCTTGAGGTTGGCTCTGCATCTAATGGTGCCAGAGCGCAGTCTGTTCAGCGCCTTCCAAGTTGCCCAGTGTTCTGTGTGCCCAGGGGGGAGTCTCTCATTTGGTATCAGCCATGATTGAGGTTCTGGGTTTGAGCCTGCCACTTTTGGACTCTCGCTTGCTGAGGTGTTCCAGCGAGTGCCTCTGTAGATCTTAGAAAACTATTTCGTTGATGTGCTGGCTGATACCCAAACAGGGGATGAGCTGGAGATGTCCCTGCCTTGGTCCTTTCACTATTGGCTGCTACTTCCCGGCGGATGTCAGGTGGTGCAATACCGGCTAACAGTGTAATTTCTCCAGTGGTGTAGGGCGCAGACACCCTGTGATAATGCGGCATGTCTCATTAAGAGCCACATCCGCTGTTTTAGTGTGGTGAGATGTGTTCCACACTGGGCATGCGTACTCAGCAGCAGAGTAGCTGAAGAGTCTTGTTTATCCAACGTTTTCTTATCCAACGTTATGTATTATCCAACACAGTTTGCCTCACACCCGGATCCACAAGTGAGGCAAACTGTGTTAGATAATACATAACGTGAGGGAAGTGGTGTGTATCTTTACTTGTGGAATAATGTCCAGGGTAGGAGAAAGAAAGAACCCTTGTCTGTTTTGGTGCTACATTTGTAAATACAGTCATTATTACATAACATTACCATGCATTGAACTGCTTTTTCTGTCAATTTGTTGTAAAACATGATGTTTTGGTGCTGTTTGAGCTCAGCTTGTGATTGTGTTTCAGGATCAGGGTGCTTTGGATGTGGGGAATGATGTCAATGAGATGGCAATGGTTTGGTCAATGATATTGATGCAGAGAATGACCAGGAGATCCCTGTTCAAAGTCTAGTTTCCCATGAGAATGTCCCTGAAGGGTGTGGGGATGATGGTGTACTCCCTGAATTGCTACCAGAGAGTTCCCAGGATTTGGGGCTTGAAAACAACTCAGCACCTGGGCCAGTTGCAAAAGTTAATGAGCAAATAGACGGCAGGAGATTAGTCAAAACAGACAAGCTGAACAGTGGCTTCAGCGTTCTGCCAGGCTCCAACAGAAAAAGATAAGGGAATTTCAACTAAAGCAAAACCAATTTCTTAGTGCTTGGGATAGCTTAATGAGGGGATAAAAGTCTCAAGTACGGGAAATGTAGCTAGCTGAAGCATCGTTTGGAATAAAGTTAATTTCTCATCCTTGTTTCATGGAAGCCCTGCTGGGAAGATTCATGCTTAAGTATTTTTGTTCCATGGTTTTGATTCTTGGATTTAAGACTGGATACTCATGCCTTGGATTATGTTTCCTGGTTTTCTGGATTTTAATAGAGAAGTTTGGACTTGTTTTCATGGACTTTGCTGAACTTTACCCTGGAGTATTTTGTTCCTGCTTATCTTCTTACCTAATTGGACTTACCTATTTCTTTAAAGTGCTTTTTAACTTTGTGGTTTTTTTTAAATTATCTCCAATAAAAGGATTGTTTTCCTATTCAATGTGTGGTGTTTAAAGTCAGAGGGCTTTTCCTGTCCTGGAGTGCAACAGGTGCTTAATTTGTAAAACCATAGGCTTTTCCTTAATCTCTCCTTATTATCCAGCATTTTCATTTATCCAATATTCTGCTGGCCCATTTATGTTGAATAAGTGAGACTCTGCTCTATATCCAATTTTCTCCCCTTTTCTCTAGGGTGGGCAAGGATGGGATTGTGGGTAGAGACATAGCCCAAATTGCCATGTTTTGGTGTTTTAGGCTCGGTGATTACTCACTTTCAAATAATAATTAGGAGAGGAGGTAGTGGATTTGGAGCCCACATGCTGCATTTCATCCATCCCAGATGACGGAAATGTAGACCGGTTAACCTGTTGTGCTTTGCAGAGTGCCCTCCCATTGGAATGGAGTCCCATCGCATTGAGGATGACCAGATCTTGTCTTCTTCCATGTTGCGGCACGGCTTAGGAGCACAACGTGGGCGTCTCAATATGCAGGTAGTGCAGTGATAGACAGCAGCATTAAAAAAATAACTAACCACAATGGAAATTCTTCTTCTGGTCACCAAACAAGTATACCTGCCTTGAAATGAATTCAAACATTCCTCTTTCCTAACTGTCCAATTGCCAGGAATTTAATTCCAATCTAAACGACCAGAACATTTAAACCTGTCTTCGTGAATGGATGCTATTTTCTCCTTCTAACATAAAACAATAGAATCTTAGGGCTGAAAGGGACTACAAGAGACCTTCTAGTCCAATCCCCTGCTTCCTCGGAAATGTGTCTGGCGGGGACAAGAGACAGGGCCTTCTCAGCAGTGGCCCCTCAACTGTGGAACGTCCTGCCTAGAGATATAAAATCGGCTCCCTCCCTCCTGACTTTTCAAAGAATGGTTAAAACCTGGCTTTTTGAGCAGGCCTTCCCAAATACGGCATAGTTATATGAAATCATGGAACTACTTGATGACGCAATTGAATAATGAGTTGATATGGAGATGCTCACGACAATGTTTTAAGGCTTTGTGTGGTTTTATATTTTTATATTGTATGTTAATGTTTTTAATAGTATTTTATGATTGTTTTACTTTTTAATTGTTATGATTGTTGAGGCATCATAGAATCATTGAATCCTAGAGTTGGAAGAGACCTCATGGGCCATCCAGTCCAACCCCCTGCCAAGAAGCAGGAATATTGCATTCAAATCACCCCTGACAGATGGCCATCCAGCCTCTGTTTAAAAGCTTCCAAAGAAGGAGCCTCCACCGCATCGAATTGTCGCCAATTGTAAACCGCTTCGAGTTGCTTCTGGGCTGAGAGGAGTGGTATATTAATATGGCAAATAAATAAATAAATAAATAAATAAATAAATAAATAAATAAATACAGAAACGTAATTCTGTATAAACTAAAGCACTCCTGAAAGTTACATAATTAAAATGTGTAACTAAAACATTTGCTTATTTATTTATTTATTTCGTGTCAAAATAAATAACTCTCTGCCCCGGAGTGTGGTGGAGGCTCCTTCTTTGGAAGCTTTTAAACAGAGGATGGATGGCCATCTGTCAGGGGTGCTTTGAATGCAATAGTCCTGCTTCTTGGCAGAATGGGGTTGGACTGGATGTCCCATGAGGTCTCTTCCAACTCTTTGATTCTATGATTCTATGAAAAGCATTACGTAAATTAAAATAGAGGGAGCACAAGTGGTTAAACAATTTTTGACCAGAAACAGCAACCACATTGTCTGTAGCTTTAAACAATTCTTCCTCTGTGCATGAGGCAGGGCATCGTGAACAAGCATACAGGTGTGGAGTTGTTTGTTCTGCTCTACAGTCACACAAAATGAAGGATTCTTCTAGGAAGTCCCATTTTGCCAGGTTGTCTTTTGATCTGCCCACTCCCCTTTGTGTCTGTTCAGGGACTTCCAAGTGAGCATTCTTGGTTTGCTCTTGGAGAAAGACCCTCGTTGGGGTGGGGTGGGGGGATCCATTTTGGATTCCCTGGTTTAGCTGCCCAGAGGGATACTCTTGCTGGGGGAAAATTAAGAGGAGTGGTGGTTCTCATGAAGCTCTTCCTTGATTTGAGTCAACTGGGAAGAGGCTGACAGCCATACAGTGGGTGGCTTTCACAGTGTTCAACCTTATTTCTCTCACAGCAGCAACTTCCCATCACACATCGGGGGGGGGGGGGGCAATGCCAGCTAGGTTGTAGAGTTCATCAACAAGTGTAGGTTTAAGATGTCCTGTGATTATTTTGCATGTATTGTTCAGTGCTATATTCACACGTGCTGCTTTCAACCCAGGTGTCACCCATCCTATATTTGTGCATTTCATTTTTCTTGCCTAGATTTAGTACCTTAGTCTTGTATGTCTTCCCTTCTAGGCTGGGTCTAATGAAGATGATTACTTTGATGGGGCTTGGTGTGCAGAAGATGACAGCCGCATACAGTGGCTCCAGGTGGACACCAGAAGAACGACCAAGTTCACAGGAATCATCATCCAGGGCCGTGATTCTCTCATCCAGTATGTATGGGTCAGGTTAAGGTTAATAAATGAGCGTGAAGCTGAAAAAGGAAAGCCTTTGTTTCCTCAGTATCAGAATTAAGAATGCCAGAAGATGCAGGTGAACTACAATGCCCAGATTCCACAGTAATTCACCCCCTAACCCTGCCAATATTCACAGTTGGCCATGTTGGGTCTGTGCACTAAGATATGTCCAGATATGTTGTTGGCGGGGTTCAGTGCTCTCTAGATGCAGGTGAACGGCAACTCCCAGATTCCAAGGTTCCGTGCTCTCTAGATACAGGTGAACTACAACTCCCAGATTCCAAGGTTCAGTGCTCTCTAGATACAGGTGAACTACAACTCCCAGATTCCAAGGTTCAGTGCTCTCTAGATGCAGGTGAACTGCAACTCCCAGATTCCAAGGTTCAGTGCTCTCTAGATACAGGTGAACTACAGCTCCCAGATTCCAAGGTTCAGTGCTCTCTAGATACAGGTGAACTACAACTCCCAGATTCCAAGGTTCAGTGCTCTCTAGATACAGATGAACTACAACTCTCAGATTCCAAGGTTCAGTGCTCTCTAGATGCAGGTGAACTACAACTCCCAGATTCCAAGGTTCAGTGCTCTCTAGATACAGGTGAACTACAACTCCCAGATTCCAAGGTTCAGTGTTCTCTAGATGCAGGTGAACTACAACTCCCAGATTCCAAGGTTCAAGCCATTAGTCCATCTAGCCAAGTGTTCTCAACCTGTGGTTCTCCAGGTGTTTTGGCCTACAACTCCCAGAAATCTCAGCCAGTTTGCCAGCTGTTAGGATTTCTGGGAGTTGAAAGCCAAAACATCTGGGGACCCACAGGTTGAGAACCACTGATAGCCAAATTACGATCATTTCTATTAGCAGTGATTTTCCGGAGTTTTAAGCAAAAGCTTGTCACAGCCGTACCTGGAGATCCTTAGTGCTCTTTCCAACTAGCCAGGTCATTTGAACCAGGTAAGATCACATGTGTTCATATTGGTAGGTGTTTCCAAGTTAATTGATCCTGATTTTCAGTCCAAACTTTGAAGGAGATGTCCAAGGTGGTGAACTCTATTCACTCTGTGAGTAGACACATCACACATTGGACAGCAGAGCCACCAGCCTCTCTTGGTGTTGCAAACATTCTTTGTTAGTACTTGCACGCTTTTCATAAAAAAATAACATCAGAATGTTGAATGTTGTATCTGATAAGGACCTTTCATTCCAATTCTTTGCCTTCTTCCTTCCCTACAGCGATGATTTTGTCACTACCTTCTACGTAGGTTTCAGCAATGACAGCCAGAACTGGCAGATGTACAGCAACGGCTATGAGGAAATGGTACGTGCTTGTTCAGCTGGTAATCCTGAATGGATCTCGAAATGGATCCGTTGTTATGGAATTTCCACTTTCACTGTGGTTGTGGACCAGTGAACTGTCCTCGGGGATACTGGACCTTAAGACCTCTACTGAAGACCTTAAGACCTCTTCGGAGATCTGTAATTTGAAATTAAAGGATTTGAGAATCCCTAAATCAGGGGTCCCCAAACTAAGGTCTGGGGGCCGGAAACGGCCCTCCAGGGTCAGTTATCCGGTCCTCACTCAGGGTCAACCCAAGTCTGAAATTACTTGAAAGCACACAACAACAACAGCAACAACAACAGCGCTATCTCATCAGCCAAAAGCAGCCCCACACTTCCCAAAGAAATACTAATAAGTTTATATTTGTTGACATTGTTCTTCATTTTAATTATTGTATTGTTTTAAAGTGTTTTTTGCACTACACATAAGATATGTGCAGTGTGCATAGGAATTCATGCCCTCCAATCCGGCCCTCCAAAGATTTGAGGGACTGTGACCTGGCCCTCTGTTTAAGTTTGGGGATCCCTGCCCTCAATGGATGGTTAAATCCATTGATTTGTTTATTTTATTTATGAACTTCCTTACCACCCTTCAACAAATACCTGGACAGAAAGAAACTTACCTTTCTTGATATAGGTGTCTCCATGCTGTACTTTTATTCTTATTGTTAGATGTTTGAAAAGCACTGTTTTAAATTAGTTGGCCAGAATTCTGTAGGGGATTTGCATCTTCATAAATCTGGAAGTTAGAATTGGGCAGGCCCATAAAATCTGTTTGCAGACTCAAGGCTCTATCTTTTTCTCCCCTTCTCCCAGCTTTTTTATGGCAATGTTGACAAGGACACCCCCATAATGACTGAATTCCCGGAGCCAAAGGTTGCCCGCTTCATTCGGGTCTTCCCACTCACCTGGAATGGCAGCCTTTGTATGAGGATGGAAGTTCTGGGGTGTCCCCTCTCAAGTAAGCATTGGAGAAAGTGTGGTCCTTGGGCTTTTGGGTGGGGTAGAATAGCAGTGCGGCTTCATGATTGCATCTTGTAATGTATGTTTTCGTGCGTTGAATGTCGGTAAAGGTTTCCCCTGACATTAAGTCCAGTTGTGTCCTACTCTAGGTGTTGGTGCTCATTTCCATTTCTAAGCCAAAAAGCCGGCATTGTCCATGCCATGTGGCCGGCATGACTGCATGGAGTGTCGTGTATGTATGTATGTATGTATGTATGTATGTATGTATGTATAAGGGAGCCCCCGGTGGCGCAGTGGGTTAAACCACTGAGCTGCTAAGCTTATTGACCGAAAGGTCGCAGGTTCGAATCCGGGGAGCGGTAGATCAATAGGTACCACTCCGGCGGGAAGGTAACGACACTCCATGCAGTCATGCCAGCCACATGACCTTGGAGGTGTCTACATACAATACTGGGTCTTCAACTTAGAAATGGAGATGAACACCAACCCCCAGAGTCAGACATGACTGGACTTAATGTTAGGGGAAAACCTTTACCTTTACTTTGTATGTATATGTATATTTCCATCAGAGTCTTAAACAAAGTTCCCAGGGAGATCAACAATCAATGCTATCAGACAGGTGGACAGGTATACAAACCCGTATATGCTTGTTTACAGAGCTTGGGAAAGGTATTTTATGGACCACATCTTCCAAAATTCCCCATTGGTGATGTTGGAATGTCAAGTAGAAGTTGAGAAAGTTAAGTCCTAAGATTATAATTCACAGAATGCCCCAAATAACATGGCCGTACTGGATGGTGGATTCTAAGAATGTAATTTTTCCAATATAAGCTTCTTTTAGAAATGCTGTGAAGATTGCCTGTGACCTTTTCTTCTTTGCAAGCTTGTTAAGCATTTGCAAAAAACTAAGGAAAAGACGGGTTTCCATCTTTTAAGAAAACAACAAGACAAGGGCAGAAATATTTTTAAGGCTCAGGAATCTGCAAACATTTATTAAGAGAATTCATTTCATATTACATAATGGGACTCTGTGCAGAATGATTACCAGGTTATTTCTTTTTGGGTTTGAATGGACTGGAATAAGCCTAACTGTGCTTGTGTGTCTCAGCACCATTCTTTACAGATGCATATTTGTATATCTGAATTGTGCATTCCCCCCAAAAAGGTTCATAGTGTTTGGAACCAGCACCAGAACTGTTTTGAATTTAATATTATTTTGTCTGCAGTCTTAGTTTGTTTTGGACAATAAAGTATACTTCTGGCAAAAAAAAAAAAAAGAAAAGAAAAGAAAGGAAACCATAGTTCAGTGGTATGCTACATATGTACCATGAGGAAAGTTCTCAGTCCAGTCCTTGGTTTCTGCAATTTCTACAAGAGTAGGCCACAAAAGAGGTGATGGGGTGACTTCTGTCTTGGAGAACTGCTGGCTGTCAGCTCACAAAAGAAACTATTCCCTTTGGAATGGAAGATGAAACTTTCTAAGTACAAGATGTTTATATTGTCTGAGGTCACTAAGCTCCCAATGACTAAGGAGTTTTGCTTTCCTTCTCAACTCTACTGCTTATTGTTCTGTGTCTTCAAGTCAACTGAGTCACAGCTACCTCATTGCAGGCAAGATATATTCAGAGGAGTTTAGCCACTGCATTCTTCTTGGGCTCAGAAGTGTGTTTTGTCCAAGGTCGCCTGGTGGGTTTCCATGACTGAACTGAGACTTGAACCGTGGTTTCCCACACTCATACTACTGCATCACACTGGGTCTGCAAAGAATCTCAATGAAGTGAACTGCCTCTTCCTTTTCCCCTAGGCATCCATAGCTATTATAGCCTGCAAAATGAAGTGATGACATCAGTAGACAATCTGGACTTCCGCCATCACAACTATAAGGACATGAGACAGGTGGGTCTTATTTTTGAAAGTTAGCTGCTTTCAAAACCTTTAGCCAGGTGTAAACTTAGTAGAAAGAAAATAGGCTTAAATATAAGGCCCAAACCATTTGTAGTGACTTTTCGTATATTTTACTTAAGTGGAATGGATCTGAGGTCTATTTATGTATTTACCTGTTTATATGGTCTTCTTGTTTATATGGACTATTTTACATCATGTGTGAAAGACATTGCAACACGAAAGTGACTCCAGCCTATACATCCTTGCTTCATTCCACTGCTTCCAAAACTCTGAGAATGAGCTGTGTTCCTTATTTATTTATTTGTCGTGTCAGAGCAACCAGTCCATTATATTACATTTCTAACAGAACAAAGCAAACAAACAGAAAAATACAAAACTTGTGAGTTTGGTAGTTGGTTAAGTGTCCTTTGACCAGTATCTGGCCACTTGGAGTGCTTCCAGTGTTGCTGCAAAAAGGTCCTCCCTTGTGCATGTGGCAGGGCTCAGGTTGCATTGCAGCAGGTGGTCAGTGGTTTGCTCTTCTCCACACTCGCATGTCGAGGATTCCACTTTGTAGCCCCATTTCTCAAGGTTGGCTCTGCATCTCGTGGTGCCAGAGCGCAGTCTGTTCAGCGCCTTCCAAGTCGCCCAGTCTTCTGTGTGCCCAGGAGGGAGTTTCTCATTTGGTATCAACCATTGGTTGAGGTGCTGGGTTTGAGCCTGCCACGTTTGGACTCTCGCTTGCTGAGGTGTTCCAGCTGTGTTCCTTATGAATTAGGCATCAGCAGCTTTGGGAAAGTCTTAAAGTCTGCTTAAGTTAGAATCTGATATCTATAGAATGATATCAGCACTCAGGAGCCACAGAATGTAAACTTTGCTGTGTTTGTGTATCTGTAATTGATGACTTTGTACTTTATGACATTGTAACAGGATGACAGCTGATTGTATCAGTCTTGTAGAGCAGCATCTTTTTTGTGATTCTTCCTTAAGCATTGTTTA